TTTCTTGAAAATATTGAAAATATGACATTTTATATGTTATATAAACATATAAAATACATAGCCTAACTGTCACTTCAAAATGTAATGTAGATGGCATGATGTTTTTTTTTCCAATGTTTGGGATTACATGCCATGAATTTTTTTTAAAGGTGCCTGGTTTCATCAAATCTCTCAGAAAACAATGAGCATTTAGTGACTATAAACTAATGAAAACAACTGAAATAGTTAAAATTGCAATTTATGCCACAGTGAATCCCCAAACTACCCCCACTGCATGTGGATATCGGACAAATCAGTACAGTATTAAATGTGTTTTAACCCATTAGTTCTATGCTGTGCCAATCATACTTTATGCGTAGTTTACTTGCAACAGTTTCATGAAATACAATGATTACATTGGTACCACATTTGTTTGTAATATTTGGTACCACAACTCCAAATGAGATCATGTATAACACTAGCAAATGTATCGCTTTTTAATAACAGCATACTGTAAATTATTCATAATTGTGTATAAATAGTAATAAGAAAAATAATTGAAATATTTAATTATTTCATGGGGTTCGTTAACATGGATGGCACTTCACGAAATGTCTTTTTTTTTTGTCCATTTAGTCTGCTCAAGTTTCCGAATAAAAACTAAATGCTGTGTTTATTTTTTTGGTGTTTATTTGCTTTTAAATGTGATATGTTTTTAAAGCCACTATGTAGAAGATGTTTTCTAATCAATATTTAAAAGTGGTATAATTATTTATCTGCTTAGTATTAATTCTGCATACTGTGTGTACTTTAAAAATGAGAATTCTATTAGTTTTATACAGTATCTGATTTAGACTTGTGATAACATCCTGTCTCAACAATGTAATCATCATATTTGATTAAATTGTAACTAGTAAAGCAACATTAAAGTTCAGTAGACTTAAGGAATACATAAGATATATGGATGCACTCACTGGATACCCATTTGGAAACAGCATATATATGTGAAAGTGTCCACTTGAGTATTGAGTGAATTTAAAATCTCAAAATTTTTAATGTGTTACAGTCTTGCCATTATTAATTTCAAACATCCTGCTGGTACATGATCTGAAACTCAACCCTGTTATGAAATTTGTCATGAATGAGGATGAAATGTTTAACAACAAACACTGTTTCCTTTATTCTGTTCAGTTTTGGAATCAAGTGTGAAAGGTGAACCAAAGGGTAAGTGTGAAAGTGCACTTAAAACCATGAACAGGGGGTGCTTCTTTACCATAACAGCTGTGCGACTATAATACGTGCTGCCCAATACATGCTGCTCATACCTTGGTTTCTTTTAAAAAATGGCTGGATGAGATCCAAGTAGCTACTAAATTTTCAGAAAGGCTTTTACTTAATTAGTGTCTTGTGTCTGCGCTCCATTTACTAATGACCATCTATCTTCTCTTGTACTTCTAACCACTAGTCTTTCCTATGCAGTATGTTTACTGCAACTTGCTATCCTTTTTACACTTTTTTTGCACCTACTGTAAAGCGTTTTGTGTTGCAACTTTTAAAGGTGCTTTATCAAATACTTTATCATCACCAACAGTCAAGCCAAATGGCCTGCTCTCGTTTGTAACCTTTTTGTTCTTATGTTCTCAGTGTCTTATGCGGCTTACTTTTCAGCTGGTATTAACAGAAGAATGTGCCATTATTTCCTCAATTTTCATGTCTAAGCAATGAAGTGCTTCCTCGGAGATGTGTAATACACCCGGTACTCAGTTTAGTGTTTGAGAGCAATGAATATACTGCTACATTAATTAAGCTTAGGGTCAGAGCAGTGGCACTTTAGCTAAGAATCTGCGCCTGTGCTGGTTTAAATCCCGCGGCCGGCAGAGGAATCCTACTCCGTTGGGCCCCTGAGCAAGGCCCTTAACCCCAGCCGCTCCAGGGGCGCCGTATAAATGGCTGACCCTGCGCTCTGACCCCCAGCTTCTCTGCCTGTCTGTGTGTCTCATGAAGAGCAAGCTGGGGTATGCGAAAAGACAACTTCCTAATGCAAGAAATTGTATATGTCCAATAAAGTGATCTTACAATAACACATCTACCAAAATCTGATCCCACTGCAACATGGTTTCTTCCTATCTGTTGTTGTATTTATTGATGCATTAAAGTGACTGGTTGTATAGATTTTGAATATATTTAGACACTTTTTGTCATCCCAAACATAGGTTGTGCATGTTCACTTTTAAATATACCTCTTGGAATATTTACAGTATGTCCATGTATGTCAGCAGGAGTGCAACAAATATAAAATGAAATTATAAGCAATAATCAAATTATTTTATTAGTTAATTTATTTAGCTGAAGCTTTTATCCAAAGTGACTTACATTAGTCCCATCTATACAGTGGGACATTTTTTACCAAAGTGTTCAGAGTGATGTTGAATTTACTGAAGATTACAGCAGCAAAGCCTCCACCCAGGATTACACCTACAAACGTTTCTGTTGTGGGCTGGGAGCCCTGATCACTGCCCTGTCTCTTTATACATTTATTGTTACTTTGCCTTTATACAAGGTGATTACATTAGAAACAGTAACTGAGTTTTCATAGTGCAATGTGGTACAGCAAAAAGTACATATTTCGATCTAAAGTTTCTAAAACAAAAGTGATTTAATATACAACAAGTTTACCTAATGCGGGAATGGATTAGAGGATCTGGTGCATTCTGAACAGGGGAATCCTGAGGCATTACTGGAATTGAGCGGGACAAGTATCTGCATCCAGAAAAGATATGAAAGGGAGGAGAAAGAGTGGACACAAGCAGCAGGAAAGTGAATTGAATGAACATCTAGCAGCTAATAGAGAATGTCATGATGTGGTGTAAAAAAGTTAGATACAAAAGGACAGGTAACCTGTAAAGAAGGTGGAAAACGGAGTTTATAGGTGAAGGGAGGAAGAAAATATATAAATATAGCAGGAGGTTTGATTACCATAACACTAATCTACCCTTTGTTTCCGAAAATGATGCAACAGAAGAAGGATAATATTAGATACTGTAGGTAGAAGAATAAATAGATAATCTAGAACAGCACGGGTTTGTTATTGAGAAGAGGAAGTGGGAAGTACAGAAGGGTCTCCGATTCATGAACGACTTAATGATAGATTGTAAGTGAGGTTGTTAAAAACAGGGCAAGATCAATTAGAGGACTGATCCAGACATCTGTTGCTCATTTTTCTTTAATTTCTTCAGCGTCCTATCAGAAGGCGGCAGTTTTTTTTTGTGGGGAGAGTATAAAGTTTGGTGGATGGAAAGAATCAAGTGCTAACGACAAGGGGAAAAACAGGACCAGGGTAAAAGAAGTGTAAGAAGGTTTTCAAAGGCAGGGAAAAACTGATTAAAGCTGAAAATGGTAAGAGGGGTGGCAGAGAGGGAGGGAAAAGATTATGACAGTGCAGTGAAGTGAATTCCACCTCTCATTAAATCATCTTCATTCAGCACTTAAAAAATGTGGTATAGACTGTGTAGTGGGGACAGGAAAATTTATGATAAATCTTTTTTTTATTTATTTTGTACTGCAAGCTATTTAGTTTTGAAACCGGAAAAACACATTTTAAACTCCACATGTAGAAGTGAAATGGACTGCTGCCCTAGAGATATTAAGGTTGTGACCAGGCTTTTTTAGATGGAAAAATACTACACAAACATACAATGCTGTTATAGTACCTGTGTATATGAGGTCACTTTAAATACTTAATGTTACAGTTTTGTTTAAAGCAAGTGTTTTCATATTACATGGTTTTTAGGACATCATCATCCATCAGAAGTTACCTTTTTAACCCGTCTCTCATCAAAGCTGGATATTCTAGCTCCTATAATGGTGTAGGTTTGGAATTTCTTCTGTTTCCAAAATGTTTTGTTCTACTACACACAGATGCACATATATGCGTGTACATATACAAAAATAATATCTATTTAAAAATTATACATCACAAAAATATAACTGGAAAAAATCAACATACAGTACTTTACAATACACGTTTTACATTTTTATTAAACAGTTAGAAACCTCAAAGCTGATGAATATTTGCAGAATTAATCATTACTACCAGTGTACCAATAAAATTCCTTTTCACACGTATTGTAAATATTCACTCTTCACAGAAGACAAATCAGGTTAGCCATCATAATAAATAAAATGGTCCATAAATTCTTCTGCAGTCACGTCTGTCATCTCTACAGAAATGGCCACTCTGATGCTATAAGAGACATGTTACAAATAAAAACTGCAATAAAATATAATGAATCCCTAGAGAAGGGAATAAAGGATAAAATCTAGTGCAATTCTATCTGGCAAGACTCTCATTTTATTAATACAGAGCTGGATATAAATCTTTAAGCACTAACGTGAGGATTTTCTTACACTGTAAATATAAGATTATGGAGACTCACAGCAATCAGTGTTACATGGTAAAATATTAAAGAGGAAAGAAAAAATAAGCTTTAAATATTAAAATTTAAGTAACATACACAAAAAATTCTGTTTAAATGCTCTTCCAGAACAACAGTAGTTTATAGTGTCGATTGTAATGTTTTCTGGGAATATTGTGCATTATGTTAATTAGCTGCTATTAAACATTGTTTTTAAATTTTTAAAAATAGTATATACATTAATTATTTTACATCAGCATGACAAAGTAATAGTTTATATAATGCTAAGAATGAAGTGTTCAGTAGGTCAAATGGAAATGGAAGGGATTCCCCAGACAAAGAGACCAGCTAAAATGCCCAAAGATTCAATAAGAAAATGTCGGATCAAAAAGTAAATCGGCAATGAAGAGAAGTCTCTTTTAACAACACCCCCGCATTGTAATCACAAATGTATTCATTTTTTTCACCTTTGACAGCATGATATAGCCAAAGGTGTTCTACTATTAAACAAACTCAATTTCTACACTTTACACAGCAAGGTCCCCTCTCAGAGACTTATATGTTAACGACCTTTTTTTTCCCCATTCTTTCCCTTAATTCACCCAGGGCTTATCGTGGGGGCTTTAGCAGGATGCTGGATGCCGAACCAGGTCAGGCGCATCATGAACGCTGCCAAGCCCAAGAACGAGTGGAACATGGCCTACTTCAGAGCGTACATCACCCTCACCCCCATAGCGGACACTTTCTTCTACCTGAGCTCTGTGCTCAACCCCTTCCTGTACAACCTCTCCTCCAGACAGTTCAGGGAGGTCTTCCTGCAGGTGCTGCAGTGCCACCTGACCATACAGCACGTCAACAAGCGAACCGTGATCAGATCGGATATCAATTCCGCCCGCTCCACCCGCCCACTCATGCTGGCCTCCATCAGACGTGGGCTTCCCTCCAACAGTAAAGCCAAGACTGGTAAATTCGCCGCCATTCAGAAACCGGCCCCTAATTCCAGCACCGACAGCACAGGCTTGGCTACAGACACATCACAGCAATGCACAAGTGACCAAATAACTGCGGTGGCACAAGACACTATAACGGATAAGAGCACCTTCGACGAAAGTGAAATGTGAGCCTTCAAAAAAGACCAGCCCCCATCAAATATCCCAAAATGACTAAAAACCAGCAGAGGGAAACGGGTGACTTGTTTTACAAATGTATACTGTATTTTAATTATGTAAATCTATGCCTGAGCCAACTCTTACCCCCAAAGCAAAAGTGAGCCCAGACCACACCTAAGGACAAATAAAGTTTTGCATTAAACTGCACAATCTTGTCGAGTCAGTAATAACGTGTAACTTAAAACAGTAACTCTGCCTGCACGGTATGTTCCAGGATGTACTGTACGTGATCAATAAAAAAAAGAAATATATCTTAAGGAGTCCATTTAGTGTTTGCCACTTAAGACATTTCTAAATGGAACAAGTTCATCCTGGACTGCTAAGCATCACTGTAGCAGGTACTGTACCTGTCTTTTCATTTAAACAAAAAGTTTAATTTTTAAAAAGTTTAAATTATTTTTAATCGAATAGTTACAGGAATCGAAGAGCATATCGTTAGGAAGCTAAGAAAAGTGCCATTGTCTGATTTTTTTTTAAAGTGCAATAAATATTTTCTCATGTTTTATCTCTCTATGTTAGCAATTCTATGGTACTGGTAATATAACCCAATTTCACATTATATATACTGTAGATGAAAAGGAGCAGAAACAAAATTGGACGAAAGCTTGTCAAAAATGTAATTCTGTAAAATCAGATTTGCTCATTTGAAAACTGTAATTTTATATTACTCTCACAATTTTATTTTTTATTCGATATTTTGCAGTAGGTTTAAACAACACCCTAGCCTTGATGTCTTCTACTTGCTGTAATCTTTGACCATACAGAATGTCTTCAGTGATGCTGACATTTCACTGATAGAAAATGACAATCTGAAAAAGTCGTAACTGAAAACGATAGACCTGAACATTTATTACACAGGTGTTAAACCCGTAATAGGTTTACAAAGGTGTGCAATCATTCTGCATAACTGGACCTGTTAAAAGTATTTTAACAAACAGAAGTTTACAAGCTTACATGTTATAGGTTTGTGTCCATATTTGGGGAAAAAATGGCATATTTTATAAGTATTAAAAGTGTTTATATTACAATCGATATCATTTTTCATAGCAATATTAAAATATGTATTCTGTAAATACCATGCCTTATTGTTTTTATTAAGCCTACATACCACCCTATTGTAATTTTACTGAATTCAGATTTAATTGATGTTTTCATTACCTTTCACAAATTTCTTCTTTCCTTTTATAAACTTTTTTAGTGTCAGTGACTGAAGTGGTACAGATTCCCTCATCCATTTACATCCAAAACAAGCCAAAGCAGAGAATCGTTCTATTGTGATTGTTTTGTCATGAGCAGGACACGACTCGACACGTCACTGGTTGTAGTTTTTCAAGCTGAAAAAAGATCGGGCATGACAGGCCCAATCACCACACATTAGAGCACCACCTATGAAATCTCTTCTCAAGCTCAGTTTGTTAAAACACATATGCAACAGCTGTCCCTGCCACACTGAAAGAACTAAAGATTGAGCTTCAGCAAGCTCTCAGAAAGACACTGAATTCATTCAGGAAAGTGTGCATGTTTTGCCCGTTTGTTTTAGTTTTTTTGTTTGCTTTGCCAAGCTCCCTAAATTAGACTCTGCTTGGCTAAATGCGATTTCTACTAGTACAGGCTGTTTTGTTTACAGCAATGTTTTATTTATTTTTTCTATGATTGACACTGATAAATTAATCGAATCTCTTCAAGAATCGGTTTGAAATGATTGATGCTTTAAGGCATGTTACAAACGTGGTAAGTAACACCAAGGTTGTTGCAGTACTGTTGTCAAATCTCTACACTGCATTGCTAGAGTGTCCCAGGAAAGCCAGTCCTATGAAAGCAGAACTGTTAGTAGACAAGACAGCAGAATGGGAGAGACATGCAGTTGATGTGCAGGTGCCACAGATGAGTTGGGCCTCTTTTTCTGTCTGGGTCCATTGCAAAGGGGTGTGTTGCAGCAGCTGATGCAGACCGAGTTCAGCTTCCCAGTGCAGAACTGCTGGTAGCCCGACGAGGCAATGAGGCAGGCTGCAGAGGAAGCGCAGGACTTCCGATAATGTATGCCTGGAATGACAGAGAGAAAAGAGGCTGCATCATTGAGAGGCAAAATCGCACGCGTAATGCAAGAATCAGGCAAGTTACCTGGTGCAAGTTTCCCCTTTATCTCATTTCTTTATTTGAAATATCTCAGCTCACTGCTGGAAACCTCAAAGAGAAGGAGGAGACTGAAGACAGGTGGATATCCTCAAATAAAACTGCTTATTCTTTTCTGCAAGTGAACAGGATTGGTACTGTAAGTGCAGTGAAATCCTCTCAAGTATTGAAGACTCCTTAAGCTCTGCTGCTGTGATTTCTACGTCTGTCCAAGGTTTTTTACTCGGTAAGGGCTGCTGCAGTAAGTAAGATGAACCTGACCCAGCAGGATTTCTCCAGCTCATGATTCAGCACAAGCCTGTTTTACACTCCCTACTGCTCCGTAGAGCTTCCTGTGGCAAAACAAAGATGCGTTTTAAAAACATCTTTACAGTTATCAATGAGTTCTGACAATGCTTTGCACCCCCACATCTATTGCCGCTCAATTACTATGGTGTTCTCTCTCTATTTCCGGAATGCTGCATCCTAAAATTTCCCATATCTGATTGATGGGACAACAGAAAATAAAGTTTTATCTTGACTATCACAAAATGTCAACCCAATGTACTGTACAAGAATATTTTGGAATATTTCCTTAAACCTATGTATAAGAGTTTTAATACTGACTGCAAGTGGCATGCAATACAAAACCAGAAGTATGTGCCATAGATAAATCAGCATCATGTGGATTCACATAGTTTTCCCTCTGATTCTTTGTGCAAACAAAGAATCTGTAAAACAAGTGGGAACACTGCCCCTCCTCTCAAATTGAGAACTGGGCAATTGCTCAAATGTGGGAGTTAATGACGGATTCTGTTAAAGGAGATTTATTTTGGGATTTAAGGGCAAGGGGTGGTTTGTTGCTGGTTTTAGCATGTTGCTCAAAACTATTTTTTTTAACAAGAAAACAAGTCAGTCTGTTCTGCTATAAAGACTTTACTGCACATAGAAACAGAGATGTTGATATAAACGTTTTAAAGCAGCGATCAGCTTCAAGGCTCTTTCATCTATCCAGTAATTAAAAAGACCCCTAATCTTAGTACAGATGGCAGTAATACACAAGCACAGGCCCCTGGGTGGACACACACATCCTGTACCTGTCCATGCAGGGTGCACACAGGTACAACTTCAAGACACCACTGAGCCTGGCCAGCGTGTTTTTTTTTTAACATGGGAGGAACCAGGTCCACTGGAAAAAAAGCCATGCAAACACAGGGAGAAGGCCCAAGATACCAACACCACCACCCCCACTTTAATTTTGCTATGTTTCTTAACTTTTAATAAAGCTTCTCCTTAGAGCCTTACAGCCAGGACATCTCTACTATATGGCACAAGCCACTTGTAGCATGATTGGGTGGAGCCACTGTGGCTCCATGTGGTGTACCAGCTTCTGCAGTTGTCCCATTCGTCCACCTGCCAAAACAGCATTGTTCTTTGCACTCTAGGTACCTGGAGAAACAGAGACACTCCAGTAATCAAAGGGTGGGTGACATATTTATGTCTCCATCTGTCCTGGGCTTGAGCGGTACAAATTGGACAAATCATCTATTACAGATCTCTGGGTAACTGGCAATTACCAGTTCAACACATTCAAATATTCAGATATTTGCAGGAATCCAGACATGACACGATCTGTAAAAAACAGAAACAAACCTAGTGCCATGAATATGTGTGATTCCCAGGGTTGGAGCTGACTAATTAAACTCTTGAAGTCTTACTTTTTTTTAAGAAAACACTAGTGTTGTTCATACTATAATGACTTTTACTAAAGAGGAAAGTTAACGACATTTGTCAGCATAATTGTGTTTTATATAAACCATTGGCTCAGCACTAGTTTCTGAATTTATTTCAGTATTGGGTCTTGAAAATTTAAATATAATGACCTCAAAACATGGTCATTACTTCGATTAGTTTAACAAAACGATGAACAAGTAACATTACAGGAAACAAGCTGACTAAACCTTTTTCTTGTTTTAATAGCACTTAAAAGTAAACGTTATTTCACCCTTGAGAAATTTTAATTTTACAAAGTCAATAAATATTAATTTTAAAAATGTGCCCCTTTGTTGGGTTTCAGTTGATTAGTTTCTATTTTTGAAAATGGAGTTATCTGAGACACAGCACGACTCGCAGTAAAGCCCAGCATGAGCATAAAAAAGATACGTAGAATAAATATCATCCATTTCTCCCAAATCCCAATGCAATTAATCAGCAGTGGAAAAGATATCTACCAATAAATCTTCCTTAATGTAATATTTTTAAAACTTTTTGCCCCAAATAATATAATTAGATGCATTTTCCTAACTGTGAATTAATTTCTTCTCACTAAGCTGTGAGAAAATATTTTTTTTTCCACTGTGGTGAAAAGGTCCTTTTTGTAATCAATGAATACACACACAGAGCTGAAAGTCAACCCTACTGGGAAACAAGGCTTAAAATGCTTTAAAATACACAAAACCAAGGTCACCCTGGTAGAGAAAGCCAGAGCATTTTCTAAATAATAATTCTAAATAATTTCACGGTGGTCACTAGGAGGTTTAAAAAAAAAAGAAAAAAAAGACATAATCGAAATCAGAGTTTGTCAGTTACTGAACAAGGCTGTATGAGACAACCTCTCTATGAGATCTTGAACTGTCAAGCATGGTGACAGTGGGTGGAGGTTAGACAATACCTGCTGTCTCAAACCGGTAAGGAGATATCCACTGTTACCGGGCAATTACTGTTCCATGCTGCCAGCATCATCCCTGGCAGAGCTAACAATGGTTCTCTTTTGCTCAATCACAACACAATCAAAGCACATCCTCGCTCAATATTCTGCAATACGCTTTTCAACCGTCAGTAATGGCTTTCTCGAAGCTTTTTTTTTTGTTAGAAAACATGTTAAATGTGTAAGGGATACAGAATAAGAGCCATTCACAATATAAAATAGGAAAGGAGACAACATTTCAAATCTCCTGTATGAGCACATGAAATATTGGGAAATGCCTAATACCTAGTGTTTCAGTGCTTCACATATTAATTCATTACATTAACTTGTCTCTCTAAAGTTATTTTTATTCAAATTCCATTTAGAATTTAAGTCACGTCACATAAAAATATATATTGTTCTTAAAATTTTTTTGTAATACAGTACAACCATTTAAAAAAACATGGTATCATTGAGGTTAATGCATATACAGTATTAGGTTAATGTAAATACTGTATAAGGTAGACGTCCTAAGAATCAAAATAAACTTTTTTTGTTTGTTTTTTGGCATAATGTTGATTAACCCATCATTTGTGACTATAATATACTTACTGTAGGTGACTGTGACTCTGTCGCTTAAACACTAAATTCCCTCATCAGTGAGAGCTGGTCAGGCTCAGGGGGTGAGGTGCTTTAGTCCGATGAATATCAAAGAAGAACAGCAGAAAGGAACCACTATGCCCTGCTTATCAAGTAAGACAAGTTTAACAATGAATACAGGTATTGTGTCGACCACCCTGGTGATCGGTAAGTGTGATGCAGATATGCAGAACCATGCACTAATTATTGCATTGCACAAAAGACCCATCAGAGGGGTGGTCCAAGTGTGATGGTGTGCACAGGCATGTCTAGACATTACAGAACTCCAACTTGCTATGACTGATGGCAGCTTGACTGCATGGTGCTCCACTTGTTCCCCTTCGTTCAGGCTCGTCCTGACATGACCACATTGTAGCAGGAGCGCACCTCCTCATCCTGTTCTTGCGAGATGAGAAACTGACAGTTACAGTATGCAACAGGTGCCCAACTCATCAGGCATGAGCCCCATTGACCATCTGTGTGATGAAATGCAGTGATGTGTGGTATTTAGGCCTCAGAGACCAGTGAACAGCCACACGCTTGTCCGGGCTCTATGAGAGGAATGGGACAGAACCCCACAAGACGGCATCTGCAACTTGGTGGAAAGCTTGCGTCACAGAATTATAGTTTGCATTGCTTCCAACAGCGAACACATACTTTCACAGTAGCCCCCCTGTTGATCAGCCCTGTCAATGACAAATGTTAATCAGCATAATGAATTTACCTATGTCATGTCTGTCCAATAAAATATCAGTGCACCTCCTACAAAAGGATCTTAATTTTCCTGATAATAACTTGGTGAATTTAATATAATTGTAAGTGATGAATTTGTTGTGATGCTCTCTCTGTATATATTTTCCAAGGAAAACGGATATAATGTCATCTGTCTTCTGCTGTGAACAAATGAAGCTGATAATTAGCTATTTGTTATTATATAAGGCAAATTGTGAAATCACATACATTTATAAACCCTGTAATAATGCCTGATTTATTTTTTTGTGCTTATTACTTGCCAGTTTAAATCAGTAAAATGTAATCTCTAATGGCAAATATGAAATATACACATGCTGCTTAATGTAACTGATTCTTAGTAATGTTTCCAGACAACATTTTTATTCATATTAAATTTCTCACATTCACATTTCCAATATTCTACTTAAAGTGCTTTTTTAATTTCTAAATTATTTTCGCTGTTAGGAACATTATTGTATAAAATGCTGCTCACAGCACCATACTGACCAATTGGATTAGTATCATTTATCCTGTATGTTATAGAAGTATTCTACAAATAAGGCATGGCTTATTTATGTTTTATAATTCACTAAAATCTGTAGTGGTACAAAACTACGAGTTGCAGTTCATATTTTAGTTGACAGAAGCTATTAGGTGGTCATTAATCTTTAAAATAAACTTAATGAGAATTCACAGAACATAAAGGAATCAGTCCCAAAAAAATCAAATCTGCAGTGCATTAAAATGATAAACATGTATGCACTTACAGTACAGTTACATAATATATCTGCTTCACGTGATGATACATAATATTTTTGAAGAATAGAATTCACAAGCAATGTATTAAGTAAGAGAATGGTAACAGGAGGATCTA